ATTCTAAACTTTGGGGCCTGATTTTTGATTTTGGGATAGATAAAGCCTGAGTTGTGAATTTTTCCTATCAAAAATCAGGTTTTAATTTCACAATTAATATTAATAATGATATTTTAAATTAAATTAATCTATATACCCGCTCCTACCCTCCAAATTTCAATCACAATTCCCAAACCCTCATTTCTCTTCGCATTCTCATTCCTCTCCTCCCTTCTCCTCCCCCTCCTTCCCATCTCCACCGCCTGCCGCCTCCTCCACTTCTCCTCCATTCTCCGCCACCTTTGGGGCAGCTTTATAGCGTCTGGAGGGCCTCGATTTCCCGGTAGGCCAACGGCTTTGAAAGATTAGCGAGGTGCCACCTCCTCCACCTCCTCTTCCCCCTCCCTCCCTCATTGTCCCTGGCGTTCACAGCGTCAAGGCGCTGTTTTGAATTGTAGCAGCACCTCCACCGCCTGCCGCCTCCTCCTCATCTTCCTTCCCCCTTCTCCTCCCTTCTCCCTCCCTTTTCATCCTTGCCGTTCACAGCGTCGAGGCGTTGCTGTGAATCGTAACAGCACCTCGACGCTGCTGTCCCTAATGTCGCGATGCCGGTCAGATCTGGGTCACTATGGCGTCTGAGCTGTAGTTTGGTGTTGGAATTTCGGTCGAAGTTATGGTTGGTGGTGGGAGATGACTGCGGCGGATGATTTGCAGATTATGGTTTGTGTTGTTGCAGTATGGGCTAGAGATTGGTTGTGCGTGAGGCGTTGGTTGGGATGGGGTAGAGGTTTGGCTGCGGCAAGAAAAAGCAAAAGATTTGGCTGCAGGTATGTGTGTGTAACAGACTGGTTGTGGGTGTGTGGCGGGGTCGACGACGGTGGTGGTGGTTTTCTTAGTGTGGTGGTACAGGTGGTGATGGTGGTATACTGGGATTGGGGGACGAGTGCTTGGGTATATGTGACCAACTATTTCGATCTGTGACATGTGACCAAGTATTGGTTGTGTACTGGGATTGGGGGACATGCGTTTGGGTGTATGTGACCAACTATATGGTTCATGACCTTAAAATTCATTAATATGTAACTCAAAATATAATATGTGACCAACAAATTTGGAAATATGTGATCTCTGTTATTTACAATTTTTTAACTTGTGACCAATTAAAAATCTATTACCTATAATTTTTTTGATCAGTGACCAATGAAGTCAATTGTGACCTATAAAATTTTTGATTTGTGACTTCGAAATAATCTGTGACCAATTAATTTGATAAGTTATGATCGAAAATTAAATTTTTAACTACTTAATAAGATATTTGTGACCTAGAAATCGGAGCAGTTACCGAAATTAAGTGGTGGTGAACGATCACCGGAATAGTCACCGGAATTAAGTGCGGGCCGATGACCAGTCACCGGAGTAGTCGTCGGCCACCTGATTAGTCACTGGAGCAGTAGGGGTGGTGGAGTTGGGGTGGGGTGGGGTGGGTTAATTATATTATATTACAGTTAAATATTTAATTTAATATAATAATTGTAAAATATAATTAATTAATTCATGAAAAAATCTGATTTTTGCAATTCAAAGACTTGGGGCCTAATTTTTGATTTCATGATAGATAGTACCTTATCCATGAATTTTTCCCATATTTTAATATGAAAAATTCATCAGTAAGAGTTTAACGACAAGGATAAAATGTTTACAATTTCAAAAAATCAAATATTTATTAAATTTTATTTTTGAAATAATTAATTAAAAATATATTTTATAAATTAAATATAAGGTCACAATTCTATACAATTTGATCACAAATTATCGAATTAATGGATTACAAATAATTTTTCAGTTACAATTAAAAATTTTATAGGTTACAAATTATTTTATTGTCACAAATTTATCAAATTAATAGGCCACATATTATTCTTTGATTACAAATCACAAATTTTATAAGTTACAACTTATTTCATTGTTACAAACTATTTCACGACCACAAATAAAATTTTTTATAGGTTACAAACTATTTTACGGTCATAAATGAAAAATTTTGTTGGTCACAATTTATTCATTGATTACAAATCAGATAATTTACATGTCATAATTTATTTATCGTTCACAAATCACAATTTTTATAAGTTACAACTCAAGTTTTTTGGTCACATTATTTAATAATCACACGTTATCGATCACAATTTCAATAATTGATCACAAACAATATTAATCCCATCACCTATCCCACCCAATCCCAAACCACCATGGCACCAATAGAAAGCAATGCAACACCGCCGCCACCACTACACCAAACTACCATTTTCAACCTTAAACCCACCACCATCTCACTACTACAACCACCAACGAACCACCATTTCAACTACAAAACTACCATTAACATCGCCGATCCAACAAAAATCACTCCAACCGCAAAATCCACCACCAACATATTAATATGTGGGTATATATTAATGAATTTTATAATATTAAAAATTGTATTATCATCTGATTTTTGTATATATAAATTATAATTCTGATTTTCAAAATGCAATCTTTAAAAGTAGGTTTCCATGTAATCTCTGCTAATTTAATTTGAGTCGTTAAAAAGTGACTTTTTTTTTTTTTAAAAAAGGGGGGGAACATAAAATTTTGGAAAAATTCATTTCTCCTATTTTTACTATAAACTATTTTAAAAATAAGAAAACAAATTTCAAATTTCTATATATATATAGTTAACCTACCTTTACCACTATAAATGTGACTTGTATTTTTGAACCGTGACTCTACAAACAAATGTGACCTGTTAATATTATTTTTGGTCACAATATTTTTATAGGTCACACGGTCACAGACTTCCAAATTAGTTGGTCACAAATTTTTTCACGATCACAAATTATATAATTTTTAGGTCACAGAAAATAAAATCGTTGGTCACGGATTATATTTTTAGTAACAGATTATCGAATTTTAAGGTTACAGATTATATTTTTAGTCACAGAATGTCACACGAACACAGATTTCCAAATTATTTGGTCACAGATTTTTTCACGGTCACAGATTATATAATTTTTAGGTCACAGATAAAGAAATGGTTGGTCATGGATTATATTTTTAGTCACAGGTTATCGAATTTTAAGATCATAGATTATATTTTTAGTCACAAAAAATCAAAATGACCAGATCCACC